GCCACCCCGAGCGCCGCTCTCTTTCCCCGCTCCCGCCTCTATTTTAGCAGCATTTCAAGCTTGGGGATTTCCCCATTAACAAAATGGTGCCCTCGAGGTGGGCGAATCCGGTCTTAGACCTCATTTTCCCTGTAAAGAGGAATTAACCGCAGAATTAAAAACCCAGCGGTGCTTAGAGGCGGTGAGCGACCGCAGCACGCTGACGTTTCTTACCAGCAAACAGGGCGAAGCTGGAGGAGCCCCTAATGCATCTAATGCTAAATCCATCCGGAGCGTTTTTCCAAAAGGAAATCGATCACCGTTCAGTTCAGCCGGAATAAAAAAGGATGCAGAAGGATAATATCGGTGATTATCGTTTAAGCATTCTCCGAGGTGTTCAAAAGGCTGCACTGAGAAGAGTTGTGTTAGTTAAAAAGAACCAGCCTGGATTAGAGGTGAAGTGAAACAAACAGTGTAAAAATATAACAAATAAGCAGGGGAAAGCTAGTATATATTGAAACCTAGAAATTAAGGCAAATTGATAAAGGAAGCAAAGACCAAAAGATGCGTATGATCAGCAAAACTAAAGGAATATTTATAGAAATGCTTTAAAAGGAGGCAAACCAAAGATTCCTGACCACGGTATGAGTCCCTTACTGTGTGGAAATAGAAATAATAACAGTGACTCCTTATTGACAATACAAAAGGTAGATGCAGAATAAATATTTCTGTTCAATGGACTGAAAAAACCAGGCAGTGCAGTCATAGGAAATGACAAACCCCCTCTCATTCCACGGTACTGCCGGTGGCTGTTCAAAAGCAAACACAACACTTGGATACTCTGGGTCAGAAGGTCCAGAGAATTCCTATCCAAGAGTGTTACAATGCCTGAACAACAAAGGTCTTGGATCGCTGCTATTCATTTGCACAAAGTTTTGCAGGACCATGGAATTTGCAAAGAAATTGCAGAAGTTAATGGAGATACCAATATTTCAATGGGTAAAGAAGATCATCCTGGTAATTATGGGTTTGTCAGCTGACACTGATTCCTAGGAAAATGATGTACAGCTGTTAGGGAACTTGATTAACTTTAAGAATTAAAAGAGAATACAATTAATACAAATCAACTCAGGTTATGGAAATTAGATCTTGTCAAACTAATTTAATTGCTACCACATTTGAAAAAAAAAAAATCAGATTTCGTTAATATAAATAATAGTGCTGAACTAAGAAATTACTATAAAGCACGTGATGTGACACAGCTCTGCAACTTTCTAGTAAGACTCTGAAACACTGCAAAGACTGCAAGAGCCACAAATCTATTCTAGACTGTCCAGCCAGGGAGAGTCAACAGCGACGGCGAACGGGGACTGTTCTCTGGGGAGAGCGTTTCTGCCGGCTGCTCCAGGAGCAGGTTTTGTCTCCAGACTGTTTTGAGCAACAGTCCAGCAGCTCCATCTTGCTACGGTGACGCAGCGAGGCTGGGAGCGCCTGCGTGGGGAACGGACCTGCGACACCCAGCTGGCAGAGAGATAAGGAGAAGAGATGCAGAGAAAGTGAAGCGGGACAAGTTGCACCAGGAGCAAGGCATGCATTTTTAGCAGGAAACGTTATTTCTTACCGCAACAACTCCCAGAGGACTGTGATGGCTTCTTCAGCAAGGGATTTTTTAAAACCAGGAGAGGATGTTTTCCTAGAAAATCAGTTTGAATCAAACTGGGATTTGCTACGTGAGGTCTTATGGACATACTGGATGTGTTAGACTCTCTCTATTTGCATCTGCCTTGTCTTGGAACTGAAGTAACAAAATCAACGTATCCCCAAAGAGGTAATTGTACAGCCAGGCAACGCTTGCCCAGAGAGAGCTGCTGGTAACGGACATGCCATAAAATTTCCCAAAGGCCTCCACATTTTTGACCTTTAAAAACAGCCTCTTTATCCCCCTCCCCTTTCTGTCCTATAATCCATTAACCCTTCATGGCCAAGGAAAGCCACAGGACACCCCTCCGGCGGGCCCCTATCACAAACTCCATCATTTTTATGGCAGGGTGCTTCTGCAAGCTCTGTTCTCCCTGCACAGCTGTGAAACAACTATCCAACTGCAAAGCCACGTCCCAGCACCTCTGGCAGAGACCAAAAATTACAGCAAACAGCAACAACTGTGTTTTAGGCAAGAAAAGTACGATTCCTCTTAAGATCCATGACTAACACGGTCAGCACTGTGACCAGAAATGTGCTGTTCCTCCAACATGGTTGTTCTAAATAAAACCTTACAGCTCAAAATAGTGATATAACTGCCACTTCTCCTGCTGTTATTGTAGGTCCTGCAAATATGCATCATGTCGCTCACTGGGACACCAGTGACAGCACCACGGCTGGCAGGGCCGGGTGTGACCGGCCGCTGAGGACAGCTCCCTCTCTGCGTGCTGGGCACACGGGTTTGCGGGGCAAACTGCTCTCCGGGTCCCCCATTGCGCTGCTTCTAGGAGGGCCTGAACTGGGGGGGAAGCAGTTAGGCTCCAGACTTTGGAAAGACTTTTACAGCACAGTAGTTATTTATAGAAAGCCAAAACAGAAGCAAGAGCCTAGAGAGCAGCCAGAAAGAGGACACGGCAGGGCTATAGCCAAGTCTGTCGTGCCTAGTGTGCAGCATCGCGGCTTAACTGCAGGGCTTGCAGTACACACGCATGGGAAAGTTCCCTTTCGGGCCCCATGGGATGCTGCCATGCAGCTTCTCATTGCTCTTTTCACCCCCTGCACTCCCACCACTGTGAAATGGGCTTAGCATTTCCCCCCCAGGCAGCAGTGACTGGCAGCAGCTAGGAAGGCAGATCTGATCTGCTGCAGAGCCTCCCCGCTGCTGAATGGGGCCAACCAGCTACACTGGCCCCCAGGCAACCCCTGCCCCCAGGCAAGATGCATGTGGCAGCTGGAGGTAAAGGAGAATGTTTTCCATCTGGTTTTCATTTCCACTAGAGGGGAAAGCTGTTAACAGCAGGACTGGGAGTCCCAGGGAGACCAAATGAGAATTTAATGGCAGGGAAAGGTGCAAATCAGTCTGCTTCTAAAGCCCCTGTGCCTTGGGCTGGGCTTTTCCCAGCCGTCTCCACCACCATCAGCATCTTTGCCCTGCCCTTTCTCTGGGGTAGGGTGAAGGTGCATAGAGTGGTGGACAGCCCCAGCACAGCACCCTCTCTGGGAATACGAAGCACCTTGTCTGCGGGACCACAGCCTCCTGGCCAGGCACCCAGCACCAGCTAGCTGAGCGCGGGGCCAGGACCTGGGCTAAGAGCACCTTTTAGCTCACCTGTAGTGCAGCAGTTCCTTCAAAGCTGGCTTTGGCTCCTCTGGCCTCCTCTGCTAACATCCACAACAGCAGGGCCGGTCCGAAGTGGCCTCCAGATGGGTGCCTGTCCCTGCTCCATGCAAATGCCTCAAAGCCTGGAGCAGCTGCACCCAGGCAGATGAGATCTCATCGGTGGCTGCTCAGGCACAGATGCACAGCAGCCTGCCGCTCCTTCCCCACCTCTGCACAGGGCAATACAGGGAGCAGCTCCCTGCCTCCACAGGAGTGGGGCCAGAGAAGCGACAAGGAAGGATGCAAGAGGCAGGATCCGGTATTCAAGAAAACATCTTTATTGTACGTGTTGGCTTCTATTGCTTGTATCCCCTCCCCAATCCCACGTAGTGCAAAAAATTCAGAGAAACAGAGTTCCACATAAATAAGTCAGATAACTTACAGAGAAATCAGAGTGACAACGGTTTGACATGGAGTAGACCGGGTCTGCCTACCAGTAAGGCCAAGCGAACCTCCGCCCCCATGTCGGGGCGAGGGCTCCTGCCTGGCCTTGCCGTCTCACCGCAGACTGACACCGGGGTCCCTGCGCAAAACACATCAACACACACAGCCCGGAGCCACCCGCTCAGGGATGCTCCTCCGCTGCGAAAAGCTCACATGGGAAATCGCACAAGTAACATTTTGGGTGAGACACCACTAACTAAAACTGGCAGAAAAGCCACACACAGTTGACAGTTCTCCTCCCCTCAGATAGGGTACTACGCACAGACAGACAGACACAGACGCACATCCCCTCCGAGGCCTCCAGCTCAGCAAGGGATGTGCAGCACCAGAAGCAATTCCACCCTGGGATCTCCCAGGGCAGATGCTGACACCTCGTGTCCACACAGTGTGGGTCGGCGTGCTCTGGACCCCTGCAAGCTGCTGGGGAAGTATTTTGCCCTTTCCTTCCTTCTTTCTCCTTTACAGGAAAGCAGTGAGCACCTGCATAGTTAGTACATCAGAGACACAAAAGGCTCCCTCCTCCCCAGGTTTCTGCAGAACAGGCTCAGTGGTGATATTGCTCAGGACCCAACTGGCTGGTGACAGGAGTCACACTGCCCGTTTCCCTGATCCTCAAGAGGCAGGACAGCATTGCACGCCATTTGTAGTATAAATTGCTAAAGATTACAACTGGGGCCAAGGGCACATGGCATAAAAATTCTCAGCCTGCTCCACGGCTCGCTTCCCCTCTGGTTTTGCTGCCTGCCGCCCCCCAAGGCGGCAGCGCTCATCACGCTACAGCAGCCACAGTTGGACCAGAAGCTGAGCCACTGCTATAACCACTCATCCCTGTTTGAAATCAGCCCTGTTTCTCCCTTCAGCAGTTGCTCTCTGGCCCTGCGCTGCCCCTCCTTGTCGTGCAGTACTCCTCAGCAGCCC